TGGCCTATGACCTACAAATAAGTGTTTCGAGTTTGGATGTATGTCTTGCGAATTTCATGTGTTTAAATGTAATCCATGATACCAGAAAAAACCTAGCGTTTAACAAAGAAAATAAAGAAGAAATATCTATGTTTAGACCAAGGAAATCTTATCTTTGACTTCACTGTTAACAGGCATGACTTATTCACATAACCCTAAAGTAAGTCGAGTAAAACCTATGTACGTCCCACTGCTGGGCACAGGCCTCCCCTCATTTCCGAGAGGGTTGCCCTAAGCAAGGAAGTGTCCGCCGCGCTGCCCCAATGCGTGTTGGCGTACTTCACATGTCTTATATAAAATATTTTTTTCTTATTCCTCAGACATGCAGGTTTCCTCACGATGTCTTCCTTCACCGCCAAGCTCGTGGTAAATCAACACTTAAAATTGCAATCAACAACTTCATTGGTGCCGGCGGAGATCGAACCCGGGTTACTCGCGTTCTGTTATATTTACAGCGAGCGTTAACCATCTGAGCTACCCTAAAGTATTTAGAGTATATTATACGCTCCTGGGGTTTCGTTTCCGAAGTGCATACAAATCACATTTAAACTGTATACACAATCAAGGTAATCGACCGACTAAATTGCTTGTGACATTAAATCATGGTAGAGACAAAAGCAGGATGCGATAAAGTTCTACAAAATGGGATCTAACAACAAACATCACATCACAAAGAACTAAACATAATCGGACTAAAGAATAGCCTTTTAAAAAAATCTTCCCTGATCTGAATATATACTTCGAGGTTTTAAATTTACTAGTAGTTTTCTTCCTCACACGACTTCTCTGTGGAATTTTTTACCAACGGTGATTTTTTCGCAGCGAAACAACTTTGAGGCCTTTACGAAACGAGTTTACTCCTTAAAAGCCAGCATCGCACCTGCAATTCTTCTGGAACTTACCCTCAGGTGACCCGTATGCTCATTTGCCTCTTCTTATATAAAATTTAATATTTATACTCATTAGAACTACTTTTAATAAGTATTCTTAGGAAATCACTAAAAAAATGATCTGTAGGGTATAAAATAAAATATCAGCGCATCTGCATTTGGATTCTTAATTTAGGATAAACGTAGATGTCTGTGGATCACAGAATCCACTTACTATTAAGTGTATTAAGTGCTCGTTTCTCATAGTTATTCTATGAAAAAAAAAGCAAACGTTGTAGTTCAGAAAGCAAAAAATCGCTTACAAGAACTAGCACTATAAAGCGTACAGTAAAAATAAACTCATTAGTATCATCAAAGCCCACGTGGACACGTAACATGACCATACGTCTGTTTGAAATCCCATCACTCGGCGCGATTTTGAAAATAAACAAGCGTTTGAGCTGCTGAAGGAAGATAGATCAGAAGTGTCGACAATAGTTCTTTTTTCGCGTTTATATTAAAAAGTCTTCACGGATAAATTTCGTTCAGTCTTTAATATTTTTTATTTAATTTAAACGCATGGAAACTAATTCGTTCATTAATTTTAACTGGCGTTTCTACCTTTAACGCTGCTTCCCTTTACCAGTCTGTATATGATACGTCTGCTATTTTGAGATGGTTATATTGTCATCTGTCAGAAGCCTTAAGATCTTCCAGACCCTTTCAGAGATTTTCCCATAGTCGGGCCGACACCATTGTGACGAAGTGGGTGATGGATTTCTGGATGGATACGCTACCGTACCACATGTCTATATTGTATGTGTATTAAATATATAGAAAATAAAATGAAACTTTAAAATAGAATTCACAGCCTAAATATAATTATTTACAGGTATATAATTTAATTGAAAATAAAATTAAATAATACTCGTATTCGTAAAGCTCAAGGTAAGAATTAGAACGTCATCTAAATATTTACAATAAAAATTTCACCTCATCTCTCTAAGAGGTGAATTTTTTTAAATAATATGTAAACTAACGTTGCTTAAGCTTCACAGCGGCACTTTTATATTTAGCTATATATTCTCGGTTAAGAATCAAAATGCTGAAGCGTTTACAACACTGAAGAGTAAGATGGAATGCATCTCTGATTTTCTTCATTAACCATATAAATTACTGCATTATTGTTAAGTCAATAAGCAACAACCATACCAAGCTTCCATAAATAACATGTTTACAATTTTCCTAGGTTGTAGTACTCTTTATTTGTTTATTTATTCTCTATTGCATTCCTTATTTTTATATAAGAATACAAGGCTTCATTGTGGAGTCTCTCTTATCTATTTGTGCAACCAAATAGCAGTGCAGGCTGTGAGGCATTAACCTTAGTCCTCTAAGGACGATTAACTTACAATTTTATATTTAAAAAAAAAACATGAATATCGTGGATAGACTATAAAACGTGTTCAAAGTTGTTTTTTTTTAATTAATACTATAACTCGACAACAAACTAGGAGTCTAAATGTTTATACAGCCATGCAAATTAAAAATTAAACCTGATATCACATCAGCAGAGTGGCGCAGTGGAAGCGTGCTGGGCCCATAACCCAGAGGTCCGTGGATCGAAACCACGCTCTGCTATCCTAATATTATTTTATTTTATATCTTACAATATTATTTTAGGTTTTATGGAGGGAGACTATATTTGGTTATTGAGGTTGGAATATTTATTAAGAAGTTTATTTAATAATTGGCTTAATTGGAAAAATCTTTGCACTTACGTGTTTTACATTCTATTGTAAGTTGTTTAAAAAACCCATTTTTTATAAATTAAGATAAAATTAATGAATGAAAATAAAGATGTATGATAGAGAAAATGAGAGGGAGAGGGGGAGGAAAGTGATAAAACCTACATAATGAACATTTATTTTGAATTGAATTTAAGTATAAATAAAAACATTATTTATTTTAAAAATGACCCGATATTGTTGCCGAATTGTTGCAATTTTAGGTAAGTTCTGTCCGCCATCGGCCCTCAAAATCGGATTTGGTGTACACGTACCGTAAATGTGTTTGTGCGCACAGTCGTATTCAATTCGTTTTCGATTAATTTTCAACCGACGTAAATTTCATAGTATGCGATCAAACCGATGCTGAATTACCGTGTGCTTGCCCTAAATCCCTCTCAGAAATGAGCGAAAGCCTTTGCTAAGGATATATAAGCTAGAAATATAGGCTATATCTTTAAAGTCGGTTGTTATTTTTTAAACTTTACCACTTGTTTTGTTTTCATGAACATAATAAAAACTGATTAAAGACCCGGACCGGACCATTTGTGTACTGATCCGACATTATTACGCTTTAATGAATTAAAACAAACTTACATGGAACATCACAATTATGCTTCGCGAAACAATGTTGATGTCAAAGAGTTATATTTTCACATTATTTTATAAAGTTAAATTTGATATACAACAACAAATGCCTAACATTATGGCGGAGATTCAATATCTATCGGGAAAGGCAAGCGATAATAAACCTTACATCAAAAGTGGAGGCCGCAGTTGCATTTTGGATTAATATACTATTAGTATACAAATATTTTAATATATTTTTGAATAAATTACTATATTTGTCAACTTTACATAATATTATGCAGGCAAAAATTGACTTTGGAAAACGTTGGTCTCCGACGGTTTTAATCTATTGTGGTTTTATGATTTTAGATATAAGTAACAGAAGATAAGTTTGATTTTAATATTCTTTTGCATGTTGTTGTAAACCTAAATCTTATATAATAAATATATTTCTAGGTGGGATTTACCTTTCATAATAAGATACATTAAGAGATTTCTTTTTTAATTTAAAATTACAATGGGAACACTAAGTCCTAGTTTGTAATAAAATACTGAAAATACTTTTTAAGCGAGTAACTAAACTGATGATCAACAAGAATTGTTACATGACTACAGCTTATTTGTAGAGCGAAAACTTACATAGTATGCCCATACAAAAATATCATTTATTTTTACACATTGACCGAACATCGCTAAGCATTATTAGAATATTTTACCATACACTAGTCAGGATATTTTTAGATGAAACCGATAACTCTTACGGAGGGATATACATTAAATTGGTTAGAAGTAAAACTTTAACTTTGGCAAAATCAACAAGATTTGATTGTTTATGATTTTATTTAATACGAGTCAGTGTCTTATAATGAACATTTTGTAAACTTAACCTAAAGAAACACTAAATAAAAACAAAATAAATATCCATTAACGTTAAAAGCTTTAAAATAATAATATCTTTCAATTCTGGATTTAAACTCTTTGTAACTTAAAACTAAAAATAACGAATAAAAAGTACTGAACTACTAACTGGAGGTTCTAGAAAGATATGCTTGGTAAGTCAGTTGTGTAATGCGCAAAATTTGTTCACTAGAATTAAGATTCAGAAGGTATTTTATGCATTAACATCGCAGGTGACACAATAGAGTAGGTGCATGCCAAAGGTCGAATTGGATTTTTTTTTGTTGAATGCTACACGAAGCGTAGCGACAGTTACATTGCTGATCATTTTTATCTTTTTTTAACATATTTATAATAATAATACAATGTATTTTTCTCATATCACACACGGATATTCTTGTCAAATGTAATAAAATTAAAACTATGTTCGTAATGTCTGTATGTTTAATATATTTAGTATTGGTAACAGTGACGTAATCCTTGCCATTCGTTTGTCCACCAACTTTAACACATTGTGTGACGTTCAGGTGTCATCCCGTCGCTCTGCGACTTCCGCAATCTTTACTATATACAAAATTTATTTACATTCATCTGTTTAATTTTGGGTCAATAATTTACACACTGGAATGGAGTTATTTAACAGGAATGTCTAGAAAAACTATATACAAACCTACCGAATTAGGGTAAAATATACATAATTCCTTATCCTATACAATAAAACAAATGCATCAAGCATAGTTGACAAATACTACTGTATAACCTTCAAAGCAACTATTACAATGATATTCTTTTCTTTAATTATGTACAACAAATACTGCAATCCTCGCGTTCATGACATTTAAAGTATAAGCGCAAATACTGGGATAAATAACGACACGGTTATTATCCGTGTTGTAGTTGCCGTGTTAGGTTTACTGCCGAGGCCGCCGACTACCGATCGACTTATACTGTCTTCTTTTGCTGTCTTCATTATTTCCTCACTACTATCACCTAACATATCGTTAGTGTCCATTTCTGCAGGACCCGGTTTCTTCATAGGACTGGCTATATCATTTTCTTCTGGTGCTGGAGGAGCAGTCTGTGGTGGCGGTGTGGTGGTAGTCGTGGTAGTAGTCGTTGTGGTCGTTGTGGTGGTTGGCACTAGTGTATTATTGGTAACGTAGTATATTTCACCATATATCGCTTCCAATTCTACTGTATTCTCTATTCTTTCTCCTTTCATTGGTCGTGATCGAGACTCATGATCCTTATAGAAAGTTATTATTTTTCCAGTATATTGAACATCCTTATTTGTGTAGTTACCTCTAAAAGTAACATTACATGCCGTTCCAGGCTCAAGGTATTTCTCTAATTTATAAAGATCTTTCCTCTCCTCCGTGTATGGGTTAGCCCATTCGATTTGCGGAAGTACAGTTTCGTCTTCTAGCACGATAGTTGTATTTAAACCAATAGCAATTCCGTGCCCATGGCCCCAGGACAAGGTATAATTATATTTGTACTCTATTTCCGTTGTAACCATAGCTGCCGTTTCATCATCGTTTCTTAAAATCCGCTCTTCAAATACTTCGGGATCAGATTGGCGTATGTGTTCAGTCTCCTGGTCCATGTTAACGTTTTCAACTTTATAACTTACAGGTTCCACTTCGATCAGTATTTCACCACTGTTCTCCACGATTTCATTGTTCTGATCATCAAAGGTGATTAAATGACCGATATTACTTTCATAGTTAATTCGTCCAATGTAGTGCGAAAACGTACTTTCTGCTTTCAACCGACCAATGAAAACTGAGTCAAGGGAAGAGTCGATTGTTACTGCTCCACTAGGCTTAGAATGATATTTAAGCCATGGCTTCCATATAATAAGCGATGCGTTTTTAATATTTTCGAGAACTTCAAAAAATTCGTAGCTTTTAGTTCCGGAAACTGCACACGATTTGTAATCGGGTCTTAATTGGCCCAAGAGCATATCGCCCTCGTGTCGTGATCGACAAAGGTAAATTGGTCCTTGCGAAGATTCTGCTCCAATGACGTAATTTTCCGTGGCTTCCTTCTTCAATGTTGTCCATTTGAGTGTACTAGAAGTAACTATCTGTTTCAACTTTGCATTGTAGATACTGACACCGGCGTCAGACTGCACCGGAACAGCAAGCGTAGTTATTATTAACACCATCCACCATCCACTGGTGTAACTTCGTATCTTCTTCATGCTTTGCACCTTTTATGTGTAGCAGTAATAATATTTCTTGATTATTTGAATGTTGTGGAAAAATCTGTAGTTGAAAAAAGAATAAATAAAACCGGCGTCAACAAGCGCGGAATTACGACGCAGGCTTTAAAGAAAATTCACAAATGAAATACACACTGGCACAGTAACAACACTTCGCAGTCGGGGTGAATTCACAAAATGTGTTCGACGATATGAGGGTCAGTATCGGCTAAATAGTGCAACTGATGGAAAGGAGCTTGAAATACACCGCCGCAGTGCAGAGGCTCCGATAGACTCTCGATAGACATTCGAGTATACAAAAACCTTACGTAGACAAATACCGTGTTCATAACATGTGCTGCATTTAACCGTCGTCAGTTTTTCACACTTCTCGTTTACAGTGCACAAAGAACTGCATATTTATTAAGAAGGCAATTTGGAATTGTATTTTCACGAATCACGAAAACGATGTGTTTGTGAATAACTAAGGAATGCATAACCAGTAAATTAATATACAATAATTTACAAATAAGAGCTTCTGAAGCCAGTGCTTTAATTCTTCTAATACACACTGAAATTAGTCGACTTTTATTTTTTATTAAAAGTTTGATTTTTAAAATCGTTAACAAAGGATTCGTTTTGTCCACTGTGTCACAGCATGAAACCTAGAAAATCGTGCCGAATTATGTAAACATTACTGTTAGTTTCAGTTAAACATTAACTTCAATTTTAGCAGTTGAAACTACATAACTTATTTCATCTACTATATTATCTGGTTTATAACGGTAATAAAAGTGGTCATGTAAATATATTAGAAACATCAAAGTTGACTAATAAATAATGCAATAAATTTAAGTCTAGATTTATTTGAAATTCACTCCTGACGCAGTCATGACAACGAATCAACAAACAAAAATAGACACTTCGATGGAATCCTATTTTCTGGATCTTTTGATGAAACTAATTTTAGTCTTGTCCGTACATCGAACACAGTTAACTGCGGTGTTTTACTTTAATGCTCAGGAATTAGAACTGTGTAGTGGCGGTGTAAGAATATATCATTACGTGGTGTCGCAAGAGGCTGCAGAGGTAAACAAACCTGGACATGGGTCCTGGGACATGGGACATGGGCAGTAGCGTCTTCTTAATAACAAAAAAAAATCTGTGGTTGCGAAACCCGCTTGGCAAGCGTGGCAACTATGGCAAAATCCCCCCTATGAGGCAATCTATGGGGGAGTCTCACGTTCAGCTGTGGCCTTTTCATAGACTGTAATACATAGTAACGGCTTAGGAATTTGCTGCCTCATCGCAGAGATCGTCTAATTTAAAACTACTTGCATCTACTTTGTGCTATTGGTAGATTTTGTCACATCCATCGTATTAGGTATCATTAGATCTAAATCTTCTTGCCTCTACTACTATATTTAAGTAACTTTTAACATTTAGATTATAACTGACATGATAAAAAGATAAAATTTAGTATAAATATAAAGAAGACATGTGCAGTTTTAAATTAAACGATCTCTTTCTTAATTAACTAAATAGTAACAACATAATAATTAAAAAAATAAACATTAACAAAAATAGATCAAAAAAATAGTTATTGGTAAATGCTTTATTTCCTCTTCGTTATTAATTTCAAATCTGGATTTGTCAATATGTTCTGAATTAAGCTAATGCGAGATGCCAAGCGATTCCCTTTCATTTTGTTGCTGACACATTGCAGAAACAAATAAACACAATGACAGAACTTTTTTTTATACAGAATGACATGCGCATTATACAAATATGTGAGGGATACAAAAGTTTAAGCATGGATAGATTTGTCGATGAAAATTTAATGAAAGCGGCTGTTAAATGCCATTTTCAGGGCAAACAAAAGGAATATAGATTGTACTGGAATGTATTTCGCTTGAAGGAGACTACATTGAAAAAATAGAAATAAAATACTCATACTTTTCTTTTATTTAATGCCTTAGGTCCCGGACTTGTCAGTGGTAATTCGTAGAGCGTATATAACATATTTATAAATAATGTATAATATATTTAATATTAATTATAAGTTAAGTTGATAATCCACTCACCATATACTTACCTATTTTTGCGACAACCATATAGGGTCGATTTTTAAAATAAAAAATGTACATAATTCGAGTACAGACGACGGTTTTAAGCCGATTGCTTATACTTAATTCTACTTAAATAATACATTATACTTAAATTCAATTCATAACGTAGGTCTCGCTTTTATCACTTTCCTCTCGCTCCCCTCTCATTTTCATATCACTTTATTTTTATTCATTAATTTTATCAAAATTTATAAAAAATGGTCTTTTAAATAACTTACAACAGAATCAAAACCACCTAAGTGCAAAGATTTTTCCAATTAAGCCGATTATTAAATAAACTTTTTATTAAATATTCCAACCTCAATAATGAAATATAGTTTCTCTTCGCGGAACCTAAAATAATATAAATATTGTTATTTTAGGTCCTATGATATTAGTAAGAGATAAAACAAAATAATATTTGGATAGCAGAGCGTGGTTTCGATCCACGGACCTCTGGGTTATGGGCCCAGCACGCTTCCACTGCGCCACTCTGCTGCTGTGATAATAGTCCTAATTTTTAAGTTGCATGTCTATATAAACCTTTCGACTCGTAGTTTGCTGTCGAGTTATGGTATTAATTAAAAAAAGAACAACTTTGAACACGTCTTATAGTCTATCCACGATCTTCATGTTATTTAAATATAAAATTGTAGCTTGATCGTCTTTAGAGGACTAAGATGAATGCCTCACAACCTGCACTGCTATTTGGCGACTGAAATAGGTAAGAGAGACTCCACAATTAAGGAGTACTACAACCTAGGAAAATTGTAAACATGTTATTTATGGTAGCCTGGTAGTTGAAGAAAATCGGAGATGCATTCCATATTACCCTTCAGCGTTGATAAAATTCTCTGCATTTCGATTCTCAACTGAGAATATATATAATATTATCCATGTAACGCTTATGCAAAATTAGTTTTTGGGTCCGGGTCCGGTACATAAATATAGCCTGTAAGTCTGTAGTAATGAAATTTGTACAATATTTTATATTATAATATACTGTTTAACGCTTTCTTAATGTAATAACGTTGGAAATTATTTTTTTTTTCAATAAAATAATGAGATACTGTTGTAATCAAAGAACTTTAATAGTATATTCACAAAGATTTTATTCTCTTTGAAGTGTATTTGGGACGTATAGACTTGTATATTTTAAGATGATTTCTGTTGAAAATATATTACAAAGAATAAAATAATTACATAATAAAATAAAACCATTAGGTAGGTAAAAGCTGACGTAGAAGATCTGCTAGTGTAACGAAGTAGCCAGGCTCTCGGTGCTTTACAATACGCATATCGGAGAGTGTGCACAGGAGATACACGCTTCCTTTTTCCCCTTTCATGCATCGGACAACAATGCGGTCGGCGAATCTTCACCCCTTTGTTGTCGATATTCTACGCATTCGAAACAAATGTTATGCTGCTTCTTTTGTAATGCGAACAATAAAAGAATAAAATAAATTGCCGGCGTTTATCTTTCCCTCCGACTACAATCTGGTTGCCTGCAAAAATGTATATGCTTTTGTTATGTTGGGTTATTGCGATTTACCATAGACGGCTATATCACCACTTATTATCAGGTTTGCATGTATTCATTGTGATTGTATTTAAGTATAATAAGTAAACAAAAGAGATTTTAATGGGAATTTGATGTCTTGTCTCAGATGAAATAAAAAAAAGGTAGATATCGCACCTAGAACAAGAAACTGTAACCAATTTTATAACTTTGTGTGAGTAAGAGAAATGTTGCCACTTTTTTTTTAAAGTTGCTAAAATCGAGATACTAATATAATAGTAATAATACAACTATAAGAGTAATGCGATGCGAATTAAATCCTTGTCCTAGACATTCTTACCAATTGTAGTACGCCGCATTCCATGCCAGCCAGCATCACAATTTATTCAAGCTCGCTAAAAATTAAAGCAGTATATCTGACAACACTGTATCAACCCGTCCGTCAATGCAACTTCATTACGTTTTTTTGTGCCAGCCATCACGGTGTGTTTTTATAATTTTTGTTCTAAAAATTAAATATGTTTAGTGTAAAATCAAATATTTTTTATCCAAAACCTACTACAAATAAATTTATTACGTATCTGCGTGGTAATAATTTGATTATGTACTTGGGAAAGGAAGATATTCAAAATGGAGCCAACCGATCAAAAGTAAACGAAAATCCTATTGTTCGAGGTAGGTGCACGTGTATATAAAATAAATAAAATTAAAACATTTATTCAGTTTCACTGTGCCCATTTATTAACAAGTATGATAAATTATCGAACAAATTCATTATTAAGGGTTAATAACATAACCTCGTCACTCGTATAATATGAAATAGTAAATAGGTATTTTAGCGTATAAATATGGGTTAGATACATTGTACAGAGATACGTTGAGAAATTTTAAGTGATATATATTAATGTTTTTCTTACTTTCATTTACTTACGTTGGGCAGTCGCCATTATCAGTCAGAAAATTGGGGCAGCAGATCCGGAAATTTTACACCCTGAGATTTAGTTGTATACCCTGAGATTACAACTAAACTTTCTTTAGTATCAGAAAATCTTGATTATGAAAAGAAATAAGTGCTATAAATAAACTTAACTCAAGGGTTTATTAAGGTTATGTAAAACTTTAACGTCCACAAAAAATTGGCAGAACAAGTTAGAAATAATAACTGAATTCTGGGACAAAATTATCCGGTGTGTAAGGGAGAGTCAGTTTACTAGTCTTTAAAATTGTCAATTCCCAAATAAATGGGATTTAATAGATGCATTTTTAAATCTAAAGACAGTATATTATTACATATTATTTTGTAGACACATAAAATAAAAAATAAAAAGCTACATAAT